AAGCGAGCATTATGCAAAGTGCTCGGCAAGTGAGAATGCTTTGTGGTAACCGGACAAGAGCTTTAAATAATCCCTTTTGCTCCATCCATGTACATATATATAGTGCACATATGTACCATGAAACAGAGCAGCAATTTTACTATCACTCGATCGCAAAACAGTTGCGTGATTTTCCCGAAACAACCGGCTGAAAACTAGAAACCACACACTCATGCTGCGGAAAATCGGGGAAAGGGATCGATTGCGTGTGTGAGCTAAGCAAACTGTCAATATTTGATGTATGTTAACACCCAGGAGCAGGAAAACAAGGAGCAGGCACTCGGGAGGCAGGGGCCATGTGTCAACATGGATGGATGGATGGATGGATGGATGGATGCTTGGTTGGTTGGATGAATTTTGGCATATTTTTGCATGTGCACCATTTGGCAGCTGAATGCCAAAATGCCAGCCACAAACATGCGCGCCAGTGGAGCCGCAAAATTGAAGGGGGGCCAAATAAGGACTCCGCTCGATGCCGCAGCATCCTGAAGGCTGCCAGACGTCTGTCATGTTGTCTAGCTGCCGCAGGAGGCCACATTTCACTGCTATTCAATATGTCAAAATCGTGTCGATAACGTTCAAACAAGCCAAAGTTAGCCAGAGTTCGGGGGCTGAAGGGTTAAGGGGTATTGGGCATATAGGGTTAACAGGCGGAATGTGGCAGGCTGACGATGCCGCCATTTGTGGCTGCAAAATGCGGTTGTCGCCTGCCAAAAAGGAAGCCAGCAGCCAGCAGCCAGGACATTTGGTCCGATCCAAGGACTCCGGCGCAGGGTGTGTGAAAATTAGCAGGTTCAATCCGCTTTCCCCACATATTCATGCAGCCGATCTGCCTTCAACACTATTAATTCAATAAATTACTTAGTTGGACATGTTTTTTCATTGATTGTATAAAGCCCAGTTAAATTTCACTCAAATATGCCAGCATTAAAGTGGCAAAAAGCGAGACGCCACAAACTCGATTGCCCAAAAGGGGGCTTGGCCCAAAAGGCACAGTCATCGTTTACGTTGCTGCCAAGGGGGGGAGACTTAATTAATCAATTTCAAATCAATTACCACAAATTTGTTACCAATATGCAAAGACATGAATCACGAGTATCCCAGACTTCCGGCCAGATAAGGACACATCTCTCAGACGCAGCCTAATGGGTTAAGAGTGGAGGCGGACTGCTGGTTTGGGCATAAACAAATCTTAGCTGTCAAAAGTGCTCAAAGCCATTGTGCTAATCTCAGAGTTTTGGGTTCTGGGCAGACAGAGTACAATTGCAACAATGCAATTGCAATTGCAATTGCAATGGCAGCAGTGGCGAAACAACGACAACTCTAACGGCATTCAATAAATCACTAAACACTTGAATGACGCTGCCAATGCAACTTGCAACACATTGCACACAGGCAGAAGCAGCAGCAGAAGCAGCAGCAGAAGCAGCAACACCAACGCCAACACCAATACCAAATGCACAGCAGCAACATTGAGGGGGCTAACGGAAACGGATGCCAGGATCCAAAAGGCAAGGCAGGCCTCATAATTCAAAATTGAAATTGCAACAATCAATTGCAACAACATGCAACAAATCGTTTTGTAGCCTGGTAGCCTAATCACTGCACGTCCATTTGGGGGCTTTGGGGCAACGAGGGGCGATGGGGGGCGACGGGGGGTAGGCCGCCCAACCTTTGGCTGACATATAAATCTCAGTTGGAGTCGCAGTCGCAGTTGGCAAAGACGATGGTTCAGAAATGGCAGAGAAAGTGCGGAAGGACATGTGCCACTGGTGGGTTAAGGCACACGGGGGTTAAGCGGACGGCGGGTGGCAAGTTCAATTGTTCGAGTCTGCAGGTCCTCTGCTGGCTTGCAACTTCGAGCTTTCGAGAAGATGATGATGAAGGAGCTTCGCTTGGCTTCATTCCGTTCGGCTAGCCAATATCTCAAAGATACCCTACGCCGTGCACGAAAAAGTGCCAAATTAATGGCAACCCATAGGTTGCCACTGGAGTTTATGCAAAGGTGGACCCATCCCAGGTCACCAACTTCAAATTGCTCAATTTATAGGTTGGCATTTGTGGGCAATTTACATTTTGCCACCCAATTCTCGCTTTCTTAAACTAAAATGTGACTGCCGAAGTTGACCTGCATTTTATTTACATTATTTTTACGCAACTAAAACCAAGTACCAAGGCCCTCTACTTAGGCTCTTGTCTGCAATTACCACCGATTTACATGACAAAGTGCAAAGAAGTGCGGCCCTTGCCCCAAAGGACGAGTGGCAGAATGGGCGTGTCGCAGGTGCTGCCCCAATCAGCCGTAGGGTATAATTAGTCCTGCTCTCGGCTGCTAATCTGTGATTTTCCAAATTGTTTCACAAGTGTCATAAATCAATGAAATACCAATAAGTCGTCGTCGTCGTCGTTGTCGTTGTCCTGCTGCTCTTCCTGCTGTTTTGCTGCTGCTGCTGCCGTTTGCAATTGTTTGAAAATGCAAATTTTGCAAAAGGATATGCCCATGCATAAATGCTGGGCTGCCGTAGGGGCGCCCAAGGGGGCCAAGGGGGCCAAGGAGGCCAAGGAGGCTAAGGGGCCCACGGAAGGACTCTGAGGACCTCCGGCAACGACAGCAGCCAGAAGCCAGACACGAAGCAAACATATTTCATGCAGTCTCAATTGGAATTCTAAATCAATCAGATTGAGACGACGCCGCCGTCTCCACTCAGCTAACAGCTAACCAGTTCAGTTCTGTGCCGCTGGGCACTGTTGCTGCACTGCGAGATAATGAGGGGCACTTTCACCAATGAATGCATGCGCAATGATTCAATTGCCGATTGCAATTGATTAGCATAACCGACTATCAATACTGCATTGAGCATACTAATTCTACTATTATATATTTTATATATAAGGGCGCATTTCGCCCAGTGTTCCCAATTCGTAGGACGCTGTGCATTAAGTAAGACACAAATCATAATCGTATGCGTGGTGGGAGCGGGGGAATTCCGGGCGAAGGAGTGGTTATATCTAGGTGCCAGCTGGGCAAGGATCTCTGTGGCCTCGGCCTCGTCCTCGTTCTCGTTCTCGTTTCTCGTCCTGTTAGGAAATGCAAAATTTCAAATATGAATTGAACTGATATATTAATGGCCACTTGAGTTGCACTCTCTTCAGATCCTGGGGACGTTTGTCAGCCAAAAGTAACTGCAGCTTCCTGGGGGAAATTTCGAAAATGCGAACGGGATGAGGGGCGTTGCTGGTGATATAACCTGCTCGGTGTTGGCATTTATAAATCAAAATTTTGGGCCAACAACCTGCAAACACACGCACACCGAAGGACATGCTGCATCCGTGTACCGTTGTATCTGTGCTTGTGTAATTGCCAGGACCTGGACTGCATCCTGTTTCGGGGTTGGTGGGGTGGAGGGGTTGGGCTTGGGGGCTCTGTTTTAAGGGGTGCCACAATTGCAGCAACTTATCTCTCGCCTGCCCATATAAATAATGACAAGCACGACGACAAATAATAACCAAACGCACACAGGACATGCCGCAGGACAATAGGCCTGGGAGAAAAATAGGGTCGAGGTAAGGACGAGTACTGTCTGTGAGTGAGTGTGCATAATATGAAAATTTATGTGCGGAAAGGATTGAAAATAAATTTATGAATTATATTGGTTAGAAAATTGCATCTACTCAAGGATATCCTTAATGTCTCCAGGATATGCATGTGTTCAGCTAGGCTTGCTCATTGTTTTTGGAAGCTATCTGTTACATTCAACAATGTCCTGATTCAATTTATTGTTTGTTTGATTTGCATTCTGACCGGAGACACTCGCCAGATTTGTGCCTGTATATCCCTCCATTTATATATATGTATATATAGTCCTGCGTCCTTTGTGCCATTTGATTAGCGATAACAGCTGCAATTTGCGCCGAAAGTGCTTTTCGAATTATCATTGACAAAAATAAGAATCCTAAAAAGTAACACACGCAGCCAGGCTTATCGTAAAAATCCAATAAAAGTGGGCCACAGAATTCGGTTTGGGGACTTTTATGATTTTTTCCCCTGTTCCTGCTGACATTTGGTAGTTTATGACTGGATTTGGTTTCGAAACTGAGAGAAAAAATAAAATAACTCAGTTGCACGTCGTAACTTTTTGTGTATATAATAGCAAAAATACTCCTAATTATGGAGTACTTCCATTAAGTATGGACAAGGAAGTTTAGTTTTTAATTCAAATACACACGAGTATGGCAGGGTTTTATTCTCAGTGTTGCAAACATGTCAAAGTTCAGTAGCCTCATTCGATGGGGGATTTGGAGTAAGGTAAAAGGAACTGGCCATAAAACTTTCCCGACACGTTTATGCCTATCTGGGTTCTGGATCTGAGATCTCAATGCCAATCCAAATACATCCACATTCGGTGGCAGTTCATCAAATGCTCGACGACAAGTCACGAGTGCTGCAATCTGGAGTGGCTTATGGCATTAGTTATTAGTCGGGTCGGGGGGTGGTTGCTATATCTGCTTATGAACGAGATACATTTCATTAGGCATACATCAAAGGCGCTCTACTAAGGCACTATGTGAAAAAAATGAATAAGGTGATTGGTACCTTTGGTACTAAGCAATCACCAGAAGGCAGTGCGTAAATTAAAAATGTTTAGTTTGGAGAAAGTGAGCCTGGTACAAGAAATGATCTTTGAACTGGCATTGGAATAAGCAATTTAACCTCGACCCAGACCCAAAGAACGAAGTCGATTACATTTGAACTGCAACTCTGAGCGAAAAAGGGAGAGCTCCAGTGCACATGATAATTGCAGAATTGAAATAATGTTATCGCCATATGAACAGCAAATTAGATATTTAATGTGACACACCAATTACGTAAGCAATTACAGATACACGCTGTAAATATTTGTTTAAGCCGAATAAACAATTGGGGCCCATAAAAGCGACGTATTCGAGGCCAATGTCAACCATTCCACATCAAGATGCGTTTCTGTCTGCTGTTCTTTTTGGCCCTGAGCTGCTGTCTGCTGGTAAGTTAAGTTGCAAATCGCGGATATTTGAAACAAACATTCATGCCCTGCAATTTGCAGCAATTCTCTGTCGCCGGAGTGAATTTGGTGCGCGGACTAGAGGCGGCCGGGCATCATCATAACTCCACGGGCTCACCACCACCGCGTGGTGCTCGTCCACCTCCACGCACCACCACCGTCAGCTCTGCGGGATAAATGGCTTGGAAACACATGAGAAAACTGGCTAAGCCCACTGACAGACCACTGAAATGAACCCTAGCTTCTTATAGTCCTTCAGCTTCAAAATAAAGAGCATCCATTGCAGCATAGAGGTCGAAATATGTTTTAATTAATAATATATTTTATCAGTAATTCACAGCACTTATTAATACTCAGTTGACAATCTGCTTTGAGCATTGAAGTATAAAATGCTGAGTTCGCACAATTTGCATCATTTGTGTGAGATATATCTAAGATATTGATGTATCTAGCGTCAATAACCATTAGGCGGGCATCCCGCCACGAAGCGATTTAAATCGGCATTAATGTGACAAAAGTTCAACCACAAAAAACGAAATTAGAGCTATCTGATGTTAGTGGGAAAATACAGTTTAATACTATTTGTGTGCACCACAAGTCCATGGTCAGAGGTGCGGCTGCAATTTGTGATCGCATTTGTTGATACAACATAGCCAATTGTCCGCCGTCATTGCGGCCAACTGAATGAAGCTGCAAGAAAAGCGAACTATAAAGCGAATGACGCCGCCGTGGCACACGATCAGTTGTTTGGGGCACTTCTCAGGCCGAGGATCACCATGAGGCAAGCCACAAAGTTCATATTCGCACTGTTGATCGCCCTGGAGTGCTTGACCCTTGGCGACCCGGCGCCCATCGGCGAGCATCCGGATCATGCCGGCTGCATACGGATAACCATCATCAAGCGGCCTTTGGCCACCACCACGACGACGACAACCACTACCACCACAACAACCACTACGACCAGGGCAACCACAGTGGCCACTGGCTAAGGAAGGAAACCATTTGTGGCAGCACACACATAGAATAGTTCCGATATTTGATGTTCTGGCATACAACCATTTGTGGCTTATTAAATCAAACTGCTTAAAGTGCAATTAGCTTGAAGGGAACTAAATTCCACCTGTATCGCACGTTAATCCTCAAATCTAGCCAGTTGGAACACTTTTCAAACGGAAGAGGCATCCGAAATCATTGCATACTTTGCGGCAGACACTCGAAATGCAATTTCAGCCACGCCCACTCCCCAAGGTGATGTAAAATGGGCTAAAAGGGCTGTGAAAGGCCACCGCACAATGCACAAACGAAGCTGCCGAATATAATTAAATATTTTATCGCATAAAAGTGCCAAAAATGAAACGACAACAAGAAAATAAGCAGCCGGCATGCGTTTTTCCAACTGGCTCCTCTGACCATTGTGCTCTGTGTACACTGCAAAAAAAGTGCATTTTCAAACGGAATATGGCAATTTCGAATCGGCTTGTTCACGTAAAGCTAATTGGTATAATGCCAAACAGCATCGAACATGGGTTTATAGCTTATTGATGGTATTCGACTGGGAAACTCAGCTAATACCGTATATTTCTGAGTTATTTTGGGGCAAAACTTTTTTCCGTGCCTCTGGCTATGTGTGCGGCGCACAGGTAGAGACCTTCCCTTGTAACTGCTTTTGGAGCTCTTCTAATTCTGTAAGCTGACATTGTTTTGGCAGGGAAAAGATTGGGGGAGGCCCGGGGAAGGGGAAGGGGAAGGGGAAGGTTGGAGGAACACATGTTGCCCGCAAACAATAAACCCGCAGCTCGGCGTCCCCCTTTTTCGACCACTGCATTTCTTGGGTCTCTTTTAGATGCAATCTTTTGGTCAACAACAACATCAGCGGGCCATTGTTCTCGCCTTCCATTTTGTAGTGGCTGCTTTTTTCGACAATTTCCATATGAGTTTTAATTATAATTTTTCTATGCTCATTTTCATGAAAACAATCAAAAATGACTTTTGTGCCGTTTGCCCTCCCACCACAAAAAACAAAAAAAGCGAATGTTGGCTTGGCTGAGGGGCTAAGGCGCTTGAGGTGGGCCAGTTGCAAATTGTCACTAGCATTTATATGGCCAGCAGGCATCAGAAAATTAGGAAACGGAACTACGTACGCGAAGGCTTTGTTTTCTGAAGTGGAAGTAGGAAAATGTCGCATAGTTCATATACCCTATAATTTCGCAATATAGTTTAACATATGCTAATAATAATAATATGCTGATAACCCTCAAAGCGAAAAGCTGCCACGAGAAAGAATTATATATTTGCACATAGGGCAAACGGTTTTCCAAAGAATTTCTGCAATATAATGGTATTATAAAGATACTTTTACAAGCAATTCCGCTTAATATAAACTAAGGGTTCGATTTGGCCTGACTTTATTCAAAACTGAAGGGTAATGAGTGGAGATTGGTAAGGGGTGTGAGCAAATTATATTTGAGCATAAAAAGCAACACAAAAGCAACACGGCGACATAAACAAGTTAACAGAGCGAGGAGTTGTTGGCTTTTGTAGTTGGCAGTTTGGCACGTTAGCGCTGCCAGCTTCCGTTTCCTGCCGTGGCCAAAAAACAATCCACCCATATGACAACTGTCGCCGTGCCCCCTGCCCAGCCCCTGACCCTTAACCCCTAGCCCCCTAGCCCCATAACCCTTAACCCCTGTCACTGGCCATGCATACAGCGTAGTTTTTGAATATGCCGCGAGGTGGCGCACCTGTGTCATCTGCGCTTTTGTCCAGATACAGATTTTCCAAAAACAAAGGAAAAAAACCAAAAACCCACACAGCCCGGAAACTGTCATTATGCATTCTGATGATATTTTCGCCGCCGTCTCTCCTTTGTACGAAAATTATTTTTGCAGTCAGCTAATTAAGAGACAAAATTCCAAGGGAGTGTGTTTTACCTGTATGGCCCCATAGCATATGTCGTCTTCATCATCGATAAAAGTTTTGGTGCAAGTAGTAGATGAAGGAGTTGCACAGACTGAGGCAAAAACTAATTTCGCAAACATTTGTCAGCTCATTAACAATTCAATTTGCTGCATAAACGACCTAAACATACAAGTACAGATGGGGGTTATGTGACCCAAACGAAATAGTTGGGCCCACTCGGATGCAGACTGACCGACGACCACACATGAAAAGCAGTAAATATTCAATTAACGGCACAGGGCAAACTAATGTGAAAACGGAACCCTTTGGGTTAGCCCAGCCACACCCCTTGCTGGCGCCCCCACCGCCCACCACCCACCCACTTGACCTTGGCCAGACAGAGTTCACTGCCCAATCACTTGTGCCTGGCACTTGAAAGCGGAGCGGAACCCTTACTTGCAACATGGGCTCCTTTTTAAGCGCGCTACTTGTGGATTGAAAGGGTATACTAGATTCGTTACCAAACATGTACGAGTGTATAGGCAAATAGAAGCAAGCGTTTCCTCCTATTAAATATATATGTATTCCCGATCAGCCGGGTCGAACTGGATCATATTGAACCCTGGAATCAATAAGAGTATAGAGGTCTTCGACTTGGTAAGCAGCAATTTGCTGCCCGCAGTTTTTTGCTGTTTGTGATTTTACGTCTATTTGGGCAGCCGTTTTGATTTGTCGGGTTGGGTCGGTTCGGGCCGGGTTATATGTACCCACACCCGCTCCTTTCCGCACTTGCCCATTTTGCCCATTTTTGGAGTCCTGGACCATAACTGCGGGCATTTTTCTAATTACAGAGAAAGCAGCACAGGAAACTGCTTTGAACCCATTTCGCACAGGACACAGGGCCGAAATAATTATGAATTGTGTTTTATTTTAAATATTTGCTAAGCTACCGAAAGGAACTTTGCCAGGATGATGCCGGGTCAGCACAAGCCCATCCCCTTCACGTTCTCGTCTCCTGTTTGTCGCTGGACTTCTGGCCAGGATCCGGTACCTCCGATCGACGATGACGACGTCGCTCTAGCCAGCGCCTCACGAATGGAGTGAGCAGACGTGTATCCACTCCATCCAAATCCGATTCCCGGAGCAGAAGACTTGTGACCAGCGCCACTGCAATCGTCACCAGGGCTCCAAAGAGCGTGAAGTACAGATACGAAATCCGATACAGCTGGAATGGAGCTCTCGGACTGGAACTGCCCAAGATAGATAAATGGGTTGGAGGACAGCAAAATTTGGTAGGCAAATGCTCACCTGGTGGCGCCATCTAGTGCCAGGCTGGCGAACTCCCGAGGCTCTCCGGCGAAAGTGTAATTGCAGCCCATCGTTGAATAAGGTTTCCTCTTGTAGACGAGATCGCCGGTGACCAGATCCCGCTGGGCACTCACACACATCCATGCCATAACAATGAGTGAGCTGAATCCGCCGAGTAAGGCTCCCTTGGAATTGACCCACGGCAACATGACTCCCGCGGTAAAAATGCCCAGCAGCGGTCCATTTGCCACCGACGAAAGGGTGATGGTCAGTTGCAGGACGGCACCTAGCTTCTCCACGGCAAACACCAGAGCCACGAATATAATGCCAAATACCACGACCACACTGCGCATCACAAAAGCGGTTTGTCCTTCGGTCAGAGGACTCTTTCTGAAGGTCTTTACGAAATCCTCCAGCACGACTGCAGACAGAGAGTTTAAGCCGGTCGACAGCGATGACAATGCCGCACTGAAGACACCGGCTACAAACACGCCTGGCAGACCCGGATATGCGCCCAGTGTGTCCATGACCAAAAGTGGCAGCAGCTGATCGTTTCTCTGGGCCAACTTCGTTTCCAAGGGATCGCATTGGGAATACGTAGCATAGATCAGCAGACCCGTATAGCCGCAGATCATCAGAAAGGCCAAGACACCAGCGATGAATGTCCAAATTGCAATCCGAGCATCGCGAAGCGTGGGCAGCGATAAGTATCTCTGTATCATATTTTGACTGATTGCATTCGACTTCAGCCAATGGGCTACACCGCCCAAAACCAGCGAATAGAACGTATACCGCTCGCTCAGATCCGCACTAAAATTGGGCAGCTCCAGGCGAGCCGTCTCCTGGGCTCTCTGCCACACCACTCCAGGTCCGCCAATGTCCAGGGTTCCCTTGATCAGAACCAAGGCCATTGCCCCGAACATGATCAGCGTTTGGATGACATCCGTCCAAACCACCGCCTTCAGCCCTCCAATGCAAGTGTAGAAAATGCACACCACGCACACAATGGGCGTCACTACGTGGATATTCACTCCCGTGGCCTGGTTGAAGGCTATAGCCGGCACGTAAATCACGATTGGCAGCCACAGGAGCTGGAGGAGAACCACAAAACCAAATGATAAAACCAAATTATAAAGCTATAAGCGGTAGTTGCTCACCGATGCCACGATGAACATGACAGAGCCGAAAAGCCTTAAGCTCCTGTTGTATCGCTGCTCCAGGTACTGAAAAATACTCCATTACACATCGACATGTAGTGCAAACCCGATGAAGTGCCTACCTTGTAGGTTGATATCAAATTGAGTTCGTGGAAGACCGGCAGGAAGAAGTAATACATGCAAAAGCCCATTAGAACCAGCGATCCCATGATATACATGTACTGAGCTCCATACAGGTAAACCTCGGTGGGTGTGCCCAAAAGCGTAATTCCAGATATAAAGCTGAAAAGAAATGTTATCCCAATTAAGACATAAATAATTTCTTCCTGGGCAAAGTCGCCTTGACCTTTGCCAAAGGCCCCAAGCCGATCACCCATCATCTGTAAGAGATCCAAGTGCGTTTTATACAATTCAATTAGCACCAATGTCGTCGTAATTCCCGCTGCCCAAGTCAAGTTGCCGTACATATTCCTAGTTGGGACTTGGTGGAGATGGGCTATTTGGGGCTCGGGGAAGTGCAAGTGGAAATGGAGGTGGAAGTGGAGGTGGAAGTGGACCCGTAGTCGCAGTCGCAGTCGCCAATTGGCCGTCGCCAATTCGAATGCCCTGCAAATGCGGGTAGCTCGAATTGCCCACGAGCGTGGAAGCCAATTATTAATTATGAAACATTTTGATTTTGTGCGTTGATAGGCGTGAGCTGTACAAGTATGCTAAAAATAACGGGGCGAAAACTGGAGCAAACTGCGAGCGATCTACATACAACTATGTCGTTTGGCTGCATGAATCTTCAGACAGCTTGTTAGTGGAGAGCCCACGGGCTTTTTGGGGGAACTTTTATTAATTCCATCTTATCTCTGGCACATTAGGCACTTAACAGTGAGGAGGGAATGGGGTTTTCCATCTCAACCCTATAGTATACTCAGCAAGTGGCTATAGTAGAACGAGCATTGTTTCTAATTAAGTTGGTTTGTGTCAAGTTCTTTATAGTTTCCTTCAACGTTCTTATCGGATTATCTTGGATATATTAGGCACTTTAATATTTTTGATTTACTTAAGCTCTGGTCACACTGAATAAAAATGAAGTGTTCACTTGCTGCCAAAAAGTTCATTTGAAAAGTTCGGCTATTCCTCACCTGGATATCAGGGACATGGTGATGGGAAAGATCTTCATCTGCCTGCCGCCAACCAAATATGAGGCAGCACTAGTCGCCGCCTCCTCTTCGCCATGCGCCTTCTTCCTCCTGGACTCGCCACGCAGTTGCAGGCAGAAATAAATCCCGATCACGGCGCAAATGGCCAGCATCAGGCAGAAGACCAAGTAGTCCAGCCATCCAAAGCTCTGCAGGCTGGCTCTCAGCTCCTCCACGTGCATTTTTCCGGCACTTTCACTTGCTCACTCGCTCACTCAAAACAAAAAGTTGCCAAAAAAAGGGGAAAAACCAAGAACCACAGCGATCGCACCGCACGGAGGCACGCATCAGAGGTGACTGGTGGCCAGAGGCCAGTTTCCAGATTCCAGTCACAGATCACAGCGAGATGGAACTGCAATTGTGCTGCTGCCACACATAGCAAAAGGAAAAAAAGCACCACCACCAGCGACTATTATTGTTTTATATTTTTATTAATGATATTATGACATACACACACTCAAACGCCGGCGAGATCGCCGTCACTTTTCGCGTGGCAGCTGCGACTAAGCTTTGCCTGGATCTGGAGCAACAGCTGACTGCTGACTCTGGCCAGCTGACGCTTTCCATTGGAGGCACCACCTCCACCACCACCCAAACACCCACCCACCCACTGGGCTAATTGAGTCAGTGGTTGCAGTATAGCAAATTGAGTCGCCAGCGGGGCACTTGAGCCAACGCGTCGTCTTCGCCTTGGAGAGTGCACAGATCGAGGGACTTGGCAGGCAAATTGGTTACACTGGAATAAAATTGGCATTACTTCTTATAGGAAAGTGCACACATTGCATTTGAGGAGCAGCACTCTCTGCTGTGTCGCATAGATGTGCCATGAGATCGCTTCAGTAACTTGTTTTAAGTTCGCAACAGAGCAGCTTCGCTTATTTTGCAGTGTAGAGGGAATGGGGTGCGACTGTGTAAATTAAGTTGATTAGATTTAGTCGGCAATTTGAACCGCCGCTCCTGCGTCGCACTCCAATTTTCCATAAATGCGATCGGCACTTGGATTGCGGTCTCCCGGATTTGCTTATGTAAACTGCGGGTGTCGAGCGGGGCAAAGACAATGAGATTTTGGTTCATCAAGGGGAATTTCTTCTTGCCTGTGTGCCTAAAAATACACGGAAAATAGTGCTATGTTGTGCCTAAGATTTTATTACCCAAACCAAACAAATTGCATTACAAAATGACAAACTGCAGAGCTGCTAAACACGATTTAGTAGACCGAGCCCACTGGTTTTGACCAAAACCTAGGCCTGCAGTTCCTCAGGCCAAACTCTATTAGGTACATCACTGCGCGTGCCTGGAATGCATCAACAATGATATAGTGGTTAAGTCACAGGAAGTAGGCCTACCGGCAGTGGCTCCACTCAGGGCCAGGATCGAACTGGCCAGCTCCCTGATGGATCGTTCCATTTCCCCAAACTTGGCCAAATCATCGGCCGACGGTGCTGCCAAACAATGCTGGGCCATGAATAGGATACAAGTCAGGGCCAGAAAAAGACAAGGATTGTGTTCCATGGCTTCGATTGGTGACGAACTGTGGCTCTGCATTTTTTAGAAGCCGACACTTTTATAGACCCGCTCTAATCAAAATATTAACACGCTCGATTACAGAATATAATCGTTTTGCTCGTTGAGCTTCAATACTTGTCAAATGGCCCATAGCCAAAACCGATTTGTATCTCGCATTTATTTTTGGCATATAAATTTACGGTATAAAAACATCAAATAATCGCTTGTAATAAAGTAGTGTTTCGTATAACTTTCGGCCACCATTTTTCCGACTGAAAATCAGATCTAAAATGCAGATGGCTTGAGCCTCAGTTTTCAGCTTCAGCTGTGGCAAAAAACGTCTGCACTTCGGTGGCAATCGAAGCATAAAATGAGCAGCAAGTGCCACTACACACACAGCTGGAGACACACTCACACAAATGCGGAGGCTCACGCACACACACACACGCACACACACACTCGGAAACACACAGGTGAATCAGAATCAAAAATTGTATGCGTTTTGCACCTTGAAAATGCGTTGCAGTGAACACCCAGTGAATTTTTATTCACGCCACTCTTCAAATGAATACTGCAGATACACTTTCTAAGTTGGCTTCATCAGTGTATCCCGCATTTCAAAAAAGGGTTATTATAATATAATTAAAATAGAAATTTCTTGAGAAAGTCAGATGAACGAGTGGTATAAATGCAGCTAACAATAATATTTACTGTAAAATTGTATTGCCAAAATTGTGTGTTGCGAAAATTTGTTTCAAAAGTGCGCGCGCTTTAAGAATTAGAAAATATTGTTTTTAATTAAAATAAAGCACTTGTTCGGTTCGTCTATTACTCTGTAATTTTAATGAGTGGGTGTCGCCGTATATATCATTCTTGCTATTTTTTTTCTTTTTGATTTCGCTGGCTGATTTTTCCCTTGCATTTCTTGTTTATTTGTGTATTCTTTTTTTTTGCGCTCCAGCGTCAACGGCAAATTAATTAATTCCAGTGGAGCGATTTTTCGAGAAAAAGCCCTTTTCGCACACATGTACATGCATACGTACATACGTACATACGTACATACATATTACATATGCATATATCCGTCCCCCACTTTTGGCGGGCCACTCAAAACCGTTTCGCAGGTGTTGTAATATTATTTGGAATTATGTTGGAATTTCTTGTTTTCTTTGCTCCCCGCTTGCGAGTGCTTTATTTTTTCGCCCCTGTGCTCGGAAAATGCCATGAAAATTATTTGCTTTTTAATTTTGTTTCAAGTTGCGTACATATGTCTCTCAGCATGCGTGTGTGTGTTCGTTGTTTATAGCTAACTTTACAGTTGAGAAAGCATTTGTTAAGTGGTTTTAATTAGTTGCCCCTACTGTACCGCGCCCGATTTTCCTAAGCCTCTTCTTGCCTCATCCTGCTGCCGAATTCTAATGCGAGGACTAGTGCCGCACTTTGCATAATAAACAAAAAATCCTTACTTATATGTATTAAATTCCAAAAAATAAATACCTATGCTATCGAACTCTATTTCAAACCTTATGATAGCCGCACCAACCTTCTTCGTACTTGCTACTGCAGCAATTAGATTTGAAACCACTCCCTGCCGCAATGACGCTACATATGCAAATGTCACCAGCGGAAAAACGCCTCCATGAAAATCCTACCCCCTTTTGGGCAGCCACTGTCATTCACACTTCGGTCATCATCAGTGGGAAAGGCATGTAATGGGTGCTGCCATTTACAATATTTATCAAGTGCGCGGAACACACCCAAAACTGGGATAGCGATTAGCAAGCTGGACTGGAGGACTGGTGGAAAAATGGAAAAATGGAAAGTGGAACTCAGGGAGCAGGAGTCATATATTATGGGCTTTGGCATCGTCATCGTCATCGTCAGCATTGGGCCTATGCGTGGCCCCTAATTACATCGCATTGTCATAACAAAATTGAGCGCATTTGACACGCAATTGCCCCACAGTTGGTGATGCACTGCGAGAAAAACATCTATATTGCAGTGATTATAAAGAAATTCTGATTTTTCCAAAGTGGTGATCTACGTGTAGTTTTATTGAGCTGCCCATGACCATGCGAATAAACTCATCTCATGAAATTATCCATTTGTGTGGCAAGTTTCTTACAGTTTGCTTCACGATGACATGTGAGAAATGCCACGAGGTGGCACTCGAAAGTCGGGAGTCAGGAGTCAGGAGTCAGGGGTCAAAGGTCGGAGGGACTGTTGCATCAGCTCAACTAGATAAGAATTAATTGTTCAATGGCACGCATTGCACTAAATATTTGAATATATACGCCTGGCTAGTTGGCTCTTCCCGTTAATCGGATAAAATTCATAATTATTGTTATTACTGTCATTTTTCTAATGACCCAACCACCCAGCGCACCCAAATTGCGTGTACTTTTCTATTAAGATGAGCTATCAAACGCACTTTTCCGACTGCGCTTGACTTGTTTGTTTTGTTCGCTCTGACCAGGAATCCCCGATTCGGTGGTCTAATTTAACCAACCCCACGGATCTTCGATGGCCACGCAACGCACGCGTAAATTATGTAATTAAAATTCCGCACCTTAATTCGGGCAATTTATTACACGGGCTTTTGACTAATTGGATAACGATCTTTAACTATGTCCACTAAATACGGGGCACAGTGTGTAATAAGTTGATGTTGGGAGCAAAAAGGGCGCTGATGTGCTTATGAGTTCATAAGCGATTGCATTCGGCGATAGAGCTCGCAATTAATTGAATTTTTACTGCAAGCCTTCTGAAAAGGTGTGTGGAATCCAGCAGGGTGATTAAGTACTATACAATTTGTTGGCCTTGCTGGGGGAATGGAGAACTTAACAATAAATCACTGATTAATTACTTGGCTGTTTAATTAGGCGAATCAATTGAAGATCCACCTTGAGAATCTATGAAACAACAAATTGATGCTCTTAGGAAGTTTTTAATTAAAGGTTATTGGCATATTGGATACAATCATAAGGCGAGCCCGTAACAAACATTAGCCATTCACCAGTTAATACGGTGGCTTCAAAAATCGCAGTTGACCTCCTGCTGGAGTAGCTGATGTTGCAGGAGTTGTAGTTGTGGTGGGGGTTGATCCATTTGTCCCGGGGACTGCATTATCATTAATTTTTTTGCAGAAAATAGAATCGGGGAATAATTGGCAAAATGACCCGAATGGCGGTGGAAAGAAAAACTGAAATTAAATCAATTTAGTTAGAGAACTTAGGAAATTGTCCAAGTGATCTGTGTGATTTTACAGCTGACGTTGGCGTTTGTGAACTGATGAAGAAAGCCAAAAAGAGGCCAAGAACGGCTGCGGAAATCTTCATTTTGCCTCGAGAAACTTCAAACTGATTCGCAAAACGCTCAAAACGTCGGCTTTTATGGACAGAATTTCCTTACTTTTCCTATTACACTTTCTGCGATAAGAACTTAACTTTAGTCGTGTCTCAATACCAATCGTGAGTCCTGAGTCAACTATCTTAATGGAAACGTTTGGCTTTGTAATTAATTCGCCAACGAATGATTGGATTTAAATATACTAGCAAAGGTAACTCCTTTTTGCTCCATCTTAAGTGATGATTCCCATAATAACAATTATAATAATAATTATTCTGCTGGAGTTTCTTGATCCTAAAGTTTGCATTTTACTGTAACTTCTTACTTGAGAATTTAGAAAAAATGTTTCTTAAATCTTTTAGGGGAATTCTCCATCTTAAGTGATGATTCCCATAATAATAATTATAATAATAGCTATTCTGGTGCAGTTTCTTGATCCTAAAGCTTGCATTTTACTGTAACTACTTACTTGGTAATTTAGAAAAAATCCCTTTAAGTGTGATTTTGGCTTATTTGTTCCCTTAAGCAATATTATGAAAGTTACTTAAAGCAGTCTTTGAATATTCCTAGAAACAGACATTTAGCTTTACGCAAAATACTACATCCCTAACATATTAAATTACACCAAAGATTAGTAGAAATGGATATAGTATATTCATATAATTCATTAACATAAATCGTTCCATGGAAAACGTTAGACTTCAAGTTTTAAAACAGCTTAAAACGTTTTAAAGAGGTTGTGTGGGTATTTCAGCGCAAACAGTAAACAATTTGAAGTAATATTAAATATTTGGCAGCCATTTTTTGCGATTAATCCAATCCAACGCCAGTGGTCATAATTTACCGCCAAACATGACAACTGACACTTTTTGCTCTCGTACATCACAAACAAATTGCACACGGTGTTATAGTTTGTTTTTCGCTTTTTTTTCCATCCGCGTTCTGGTCAATAATTCGCAAAGCCATTGATGGAAATTAAAACACAAATCAAACGGCAACAGCGGCAGTGGCGTAAAAAAGCAGTTTCCACTATTAAAGCGGCCAATTGAATGAGTCAACGGAGCCGACAGGTGAATCGGAAAGGTGAGAAGTGGGCGGAGGGTATGACGCCGTAGGCTAAAAATAAACCTATATACTGTACATAGTGTTGGGCAGGGTCAACGGAGCTTTTTCGGTATGCGGCACACGTGGGGCGCCGATTATAATGCCTTTTGGCCGATTTGCTGGGCTCAAATCGCTGCTGAATTCCGATTTCAGTTCGCATTCGTCGCTCAGCGAAAAATGTTCTGTGAGGCGTTTTAACTCCGGGCTTTATTTCTGACGATTTTTCCATTGCGATCATGGCTTTGCCGTATAAACTATTTAGCCTCTTGGCAGTGGCCGCCATTTCTATCCAATTGGTAAGTGGGAAACCAAGAACTGCGTGTTTCAACTTCAACTATTTCAAAACGTAATGTGCAGGCACTTGCACTGGAGTTTATGGACGAAGAGTTCCTGCAGAACGATGATGGCCATCACTTGGACGAAGAGTCCTCTGCTGAAGTGCCTGGGATTTTGACTGGCTACACCAGAGATACGATCGCGCACTTCAATCCTCGCAAAATGGATGGGGGCTTTCGACAATTGTGGGAACGTGTTCCTCTTCAAAAAGTCGATGACATTAAGCGCAGATAGGCATACATACCTCATACTCAAGTCATCACCATTAGCAATTTCTTCAAGTGGAAAATCAATTGAAATTTGACGTACAATGTGAACAATGTTCAAACAAATACTATTTTAATCATTACTTTTTTTTACCAAAATATTTATAATATTAATTTTAAGAAAAGCTTTTAAAACACGTCAACTAATATTTATTTACTACATATTTTAATCGTAGTAAGAGGTTGTTGGAAAGCTCAATGGCTATATTAAAAGTAAAGCGATTCAGATCAATATAAAAATATATGAAATATAGATCGGTATAAAAATACATATACGAGTACATTTATGTATATATTTCCACGTAAATGTAGAAATATTGCAAGACACCATAAATGCGGTAAAAGAACAATTCCCTTCGAGGATTTTTGGGTCAAACCTTTTTGCTTCGGGCCCGAGGGCTAAACCGACTTGCCCACCAATAACCCACCCACCGTTGTGGGTTTTTCCCGACCAAGCCAAAGCAACCTTCAGCCCAAGTAGTTCTTAGAAAAGTAATAAAAAAAATAAAAAAGCCGTGGAAAAGGCGGCTCTGCTGGGAAAAACTTTTTTATTTGCATTTTGTTTTAAGCAATGGAAGGAGACGGAAAAAAAGTGAGACCAACTCTGTTTCTGTTGCGGGTGTTTTTTATCCACTTTTTTCCTCTCTTTTGCTTCTGCTGGTTGTTTCGTCTTTGTTTTGTAGAAAAATGCACAAGTTTTATGGTAGCATAAAAGTTTTTGTGGTGAAAACTTTGCACTTGTCTTTTTTTTTTTTTTTTTTTTTTTTTTTTTTTTTTGTTTTTTTTTTAAATGTTTATTATTATAAAGCGACGAATCCGTACATGCAGTACTAGTACCATAACATTGCAATTAAACATATAAATAATATAACCAAACTTCTCACTTATCGTGGGAAGACTAACAACAGAGTCTCAAACGTCGAGGGGGTCTTTAAAGCTGTCCAATTGTTTTGGCAAAGCCCTTTCTTTTAAGCCTTCTTAGAGGCCTGGCAGGGAGTAGGCGTCTTGCTAGCATGCTGTGGTGTCTTTTAAGCCTATCACTGTATCTGCTTGTGTGCCTTGAGATCTGTTCTTCCACTGTATGCAGATTAAGGTCCCGATGAAGGGTTGAGCTACGTACATAGTATGGGCAGTTGGTGATGGCACGCATTGCACGATTTTGCAAGACCTCAATGCGTTTATAGTTCGATTTTGCAGCAATACCCCAGATCTGCACTCCATATAGCCAGATCGGGGCTATACAGTGGGCGTATACTGCCCTTTTGGCTCTAAGTGTCATGGTGCTTCTTCTGTTGATCAACCATCGCAGTTGTTGCATTCTCTGACCGCATCTCCGTGCCGCAGCTTTTAAGTGTGGGCCAAAGGTCAACCGTTTGTCAAGGGTGATCCCAAGGTATTTAGCCTGCAGAGGTTGTTCTAGGGTTACGCCATCAAATTGTATGGGTGGTGTGCGCCTAATGAGAGTCTTCAAGGTGAAACAAGGATTGATGGTCTTATGTGGATTTACCTTTAAGTTCCATCTTTTGCACCATGCAGCCAAAGTATTGAGATACTCTTGGAGGCCACGTGCTGCCTCAGTGCAAGAACTGGAGCTGTATAACAGTGCGATATCGTCAGCGTAAGTGGCGAGTAGGGCCTTCCTGGGAGCTTCCATATGGTGCATATTTGGGCAAGGCAAATCCGCGGTAAATATTGAGTAGAGCAGCGGGCCGAGGACGCTGCCCTGCGGAACTCCAGCTCTCATGTAGCAAGGGGTTGAGTAGGTGCTTCTGACCCTGACCATGAACTTCCTATCTTCCAGGTAAGATTTCAGGACTCCATAGTATGGTGCTGGAAGCAGCTTTTTTATTTTGCAGAGTAGGCCGATATGCCAGACTCTGTCAAATGCTTGCTGCATGTCAATAAATACAGCATTGCAGTATTCCAAGTCGTCAAACGCCTGAATAATGTGCTTAACCAGTCTGTGAACCTGCTCCACAGTGCTGTGTCCCTGTCGAAATCCAAACTGGTGATCTGGGAGGATACGGCGCTCCTTAATAAAGTCACCTAGTCTGTTGGCAATCAGCCTTTCCCATATCTTGGATAGCGAAGACAGCAGACTTATGGGCCGATACGATTCCGGATCCTCTTCAGGTTTCCCAGGCTTATGTATCATGAGAATTGCTGCCATTTTCCACTGCTTTGGGAAGGACTGCACCCTAAATATAGCATTAAATATTTTCGCCATGTATAGGATGGCTCGGAGAGGTAGCGCTTTTAACGTGGCATTACAGACATTGTCGATGCCAGGAGTCTTCTTTATTGGCATTGATTTAATGACTTCGGCAATTTCCTCAACCCTGATTGGTTTAATTGGTAGCGACATTTGTAGGGGTATCTCTAGGCTGTCAAGCGTCTCTCGATTCTGCTCCATTGTAGCGAATTGGTAATGGGTGAACCTAGTCTCCAAATGATTTGCAAAGGAATTGGCCTGTTCCTCCTCGTTTTTAGCAAGTTCACCTCCCGGGCATCTAATGGGTACCTGTCTGAACGGTTGTCTTTTGAGGGATTTGGTGGACTTCCAGAGTGAATACCCAGCATCCACCGTATAGTCCATAGAAGCCAGCTTCTGCTCAAAAAAGATACTTCGAAGGTCTCTTACCACATTTCGTAGTTGTTTTGCAGCACGGTTCCATAAGATGCGGTCCCAGGGATCTTGAGATCGGATTGCTCGCCTTCTGAGTCTCCTTTTCTGTGTCAGGAGCTCTCTAGCCTCTCTTGTTAGGGATATTCCATAGGGGGTGCCTGTCCGAGGAACAGAAGGCGTAGATGCAGTCGCAGCCCTGTGAATACTTTGCGTAAGGTGATCAACAGCCATTTCAATTTCTTCACCAGAATTTAGCGTGATGTTCAACGGGATCATGCTCTCCAGTTGTTGACTAAAAGCGAGCGGGTCAGTGTGCTTGTTGACTAATCGTGGACTTGGATTCACATGGGTACTATCTGTCACAATACTGATGATCAAAGGCAAGTGATCGGAGTCCAGATCCCAACTTTGTGTTATACTTGTTAGGGAATCTGGTATACCATGATGCACCGCGAAGTCAATGCAGGAAGGCGTATGACTGGGTACATAAGGATACCTGGTTGGCGAACCAGTTGCAAGTATCTTAGCTCCAGTGATAGAGATGGCTTCCGCTAGCTCACGCCCCCGGGGTGAATTGTAGGTGTCGCCCCAAAGCCAGTGTCGGGCGTTCCAGTCGCCACCAATCATATACCGTTGGCCGCAAGAGCGTATTGTGTCAGTAAATTGTCTTTCGTCGATACTAACACTGGGAGGACAGTAAATGGCGCCGAACTGCACGTCACCCAGTCCTGTAGCTACTTTTACTGTAGACATTTGTATGCTGCGTGTCTCTATGACCCTTTGCGGGAAATGGCGAAGAGTTGTCCTAACGAACACGGCTGCTCCACCAACGCTATTATTATTTTGCGATGGCCTAAATGCTGGATAGAAAGCATAACCATATATCTTAACAGTATCCCCTCTTTTAATTCTAAGTTCCGTCACAAGAAGAATGTCCACGCTATTATTGTGCGCGTAAAGCTCAATATCTTTAGCTTTTCTTGAAATGCCGTTGGCATTCCAAATAAGAATCTTTAGTGGATTCATTGTGGGTGTGGAGCGTTGTTAGAAAGCTGGTAGGTATGTTCATTCCCAGCTCCTTGCTTTAACATGGTGGTTATTTCAAATACCATTCTTTCGAGCTTTTCAAGTCGTTGATTGGTTTGATTTCTGTGATGTTGCTGATCTTGTTGCTGCTGTTGCAACCACATAAGAAACTGATGTTGTTGTTGTTGTTGCATTTGCTGCTGCCATTCTTGGAACTGTTGTTGTTGCTGTTGTAACAATGCTTGGACGTCAAGTGAATTATTTTGCTGAGTGTTCAGTCGTTGTTGCTGCGATAACTGTTGCGTTTGTAAGTTATATAAACGTCGCTGAGCTGGTCCATCCTTGGAGGGAGTTGTATTAGAGTATTCTTTTGCTACTGTGGCATAGGATACTTTTGTATTTACCCCAGGGCCTATAGATGGTTGATGCTGTACCATATTTTGGTGTTGTTGTGTTGGTTGCTGATCTTCAGTTGACTGGTTAGTACTCTTACGGCGATTAATCTGCACGGAAGGAAACTGTTGCTGATCTCTATGGTTGAACCCATGATTCTGCCTATTTAAGTGATTCGCCTTCTTCGCAGGCCCCATAGATCTGCGGAGAAGCTCCTGGTACTTATGGCAACCTTTATAACTAGCCATGTGATCGTGAGAACAGTGATAGCATGTGGGCAGAGCATCTACAGGACGTGTACATTGTGTGGTTTGGTGATTTTCACCACACCTGGCACAATTTGGATGTCTGCGGCAGTATTTAGCTGTATGGCCATACTCCTGGCAACGTCGACATTGTGCAATTTCACTAGACTTTCGCATCCTTTCGATCCGTATTTTCTGTCGGCAAAGGGTCTTCACGTGATAAATTTCATTAATATTAGGGCAGGGCTTAATGTTAATGAAAAAAATATTGAGTTTTTCATCTTTATTAACCCTTGAACTAGGGTTGTGAATGTGAAGTACTTCATAGCCTAAACATTTCAGATCGGCCGTTATATCTTTGTTTTGTGTGCTGTGATGTAAGTCCCTTACTACAATTCTGTGTGCTTTTTCTGTCAGCATTTGGTAAGTGTGAAACTGCATACCAATTTCATCCATATAGCTAACAATTTTTCTGTAAGTGTCACTGTCTTTGGGAAATATTCTGACTGTTTCCCCTTGGTTAGCTTTGACTACGACGTTATCTAGACTTGCCTTTTCTTGTATGAGCTCAAATAGGTCATTTAAGTTGCTAATATTAACAACAATTTGGGGTGGTTTTTTAAAATCTTTGAGTTGATTGTTGGCGTTAGATGTTTCCTGGGATTTATTGGCAGTATTGTTTTCTGCAGATTGAAATTCGTCCATGCGGGCACTAGCATCATCGGCATCCTCAGACATCATGTCTTCCCCGTTTTCTTCATTAGTAATGATGTCCGTGTCGAGAATAGCAAACCTGTTACTAGAGCTTGCCTTCTGGTTAATTGTGGGGACCAAGTGCGGGCCCTGGGTACTGCTCACTCTTTTCGGTTTAAGGATGGGGGACAGTGGCTTTGCATTTTTTCTCTTGCCTGCTTTCCGATTTTGATCATCCAGTAATCTTCTGGCAGCACCGCTTAGATTTTT